TTAAGTTTAAGTCTCGTGTTATTAGCAACACAGAAGCTTCAAGCAGAATATTATCAACATTAAAGCTGATTCTCTGCACCTGAAATGGTAATTTGTGTAAATGAAAAGGGACCAAGTAAATTCGCCCAATATTTGGAGATGGTCAGACAACCTTTTCAAGAGCAACGGGATACAGAAGGCATCATTCAAGTTAAAAGGGATAAATAGGATGCCTAAGGACTTAGACCTGAGGCAACGTTGGAGAACTAGCATGAGACAGCTATCCAACCAAATAAAATCCCAGCCCCTCCCATCAGGCCTCCCTCTAAAGCCACTCCACCAACACATGTTCATGCACAGTGAGTGCACAGGCAGCGTGCACGCAGGCAGGGAGGCCACAGATACTGGAATTTGTATCAGAGCATTTGATTTGTTGATTGCTGTCGGGATGTAAAGAGAATTTCAACAATTATAGCTAAAACATACAAGCTTTAAGCTCTGAAGATGTGGTATGTGTGATTATAACATAATAACAAGAATGAAGCTTCAAAAATAAATATTTTAACACTTTTTCAATGGGAACACCTTGTAGAGTCATTGTAACTGTTTGTTTTTGCCCTATATGAATATGCAAATTCAGGTGGATTTAATATGAGCTTAAAAAGTGGCAAGTATCATATCATCTGCGTAAAAAAGTAGGCTTGTAATCATAACATATAAAAAAGAGCCAAATCCAATTTTCTACTAAAGTCTATGTAAGATAATGGTAGCATAAGTTGTATCAAATGCCTTGGAGAGGTCTGTACTAGTCCTTATTTATAGAGGTCATATTATGCTTTTTGGCTTTTTACCTTTCCTTTACTGTGTTATATCTTATTTGGTTTGCAAAGTGAAAAAGTCCAAAGTCCACCCCAAAGGGAGTTACCATCTCCCACAGAAAACACTACTCTGAACTGCCTAAAAACCGCTCGTTTGTAGTCCAGCCTTTAGTTCCGTAACCTATCTGCATCACTATGTAACACGCGTAAACTCTGTGTGTTGGGTTTTCAGTCAGGAACCAGAGGCAGCTGTGATGCTCAGAGAGCTCATTTGACACGCAAAGAAGATTCATGTAATTGTTGCCACCTGTCGAAATCCTGGAAAATTGAAAGTCACCACCTGATTGAAAAGGAAACTAAATACAGAAATATGCAGATATGCTTTTCATGTGCGGCCAACAGCTAGTAAAAGTGACATTGTTGGTCAGTCTGACTTTTTCACATCAAAGATTCAAGATGTTATTGAATTTTTTGTGAATGAATGAATTTGTTATTCCAACTCTTACAGGTTGAGACTAAGCTGTGTCGGTTCAGATATGAGGCAGTTAAAGACCTTCTCCAGAAACCTGCGACTGTGCTCATTTTCCTTGGAGTGGAGAAGAGGAAAAAACCCTCCTCTTCCAACTCCTCTCAGACAGTGGAGGGTGTCCTGGAGCCTCCTGCCTGGTTTGCCATAGGCACAGATGAAGACGCTGCTGAACTTTTTAAACGCTGCAGAGAAAAGAACTGCTCCTTCCCAAAGATGCCCAACAGAGACCTGCTGAAATTCAGTGAGGAAGAGGCCGGTGAGGAAGAAGCAGTATCTTTTACAGGCATCTGGTCTCAATTAAAATGATTTTATATGACTCGCGCTTTTGATTAAATAAGCTGAAGTCAACAAACTAGCTAATCTTTGTTCCCTGTCATCATCCTGCAGGAATTGTGGCTCAGGCTCGATCGGTGTTGTCCTGGCACAGCCGTCACAGCTTCTGTCCAACATGTGGTAGCAGCACCAAACTGGAGGAGGGAGGATACAAGAGGAGCTGTCTGAACTCCGACTGCCGGAGCCTGAAGGGGGTTCACAACACCTGTTATCCACGAGTTGGTACGAAGCTCCACCAACACCTCACCTATCTGCTCTTGATAAAGCTAATTATACTGAGTCTGTAAGCCTGCAGTTTATCAGTATTCAAAATACAACATCCCCTATGAATGTACACATTTAAAGTCAGTGGACATATGCATTTATTTTTTGTGACAGTCTTTTACAAAGATGGGAGCTGATGACATGGGAGTCCAGTTTATACCAAAATGGAGTGGAAACAATTAGTCCATTAACCGAGTAGTTGTTTTTATAAGCTGAAATTACAGAAGCTTGAGCTCAAATAAGAACATTTGCTAGTCTTCTATTTCTATGATAATAAAGTGAGAACCTTTTGAGTTTTGGTCAGACAAAACAAGTGGTTTAAATATTTTTACTCTTGTAAAGGGGTGACATTTTACAGACAAGTCTATTAATTATTAACTGAGAAAATAACTGGTGTGTATATATATATATATATATATATATATATATATATATATATCTATATATATATATATATATATATATATATATATAATATATATATATATATATATATATATATAATATATATATATATATATATAAAAAAATTTTTTCTTTTTGTTTGATATACTGTAAGTGCAGTTCTTCTCTTGTTTGTCTGTATGTGTGTTTTCAGACCCAGTGGTCATCATGCTGGTGATCCACCCTGATGGAAACCAGTGTTTATTGGGAAGGAAGAAGATCTTCCCAGTCGGCATGTTCTCTTGTCTGGCTGGATTCATAGAGCCTGGTAATTAACACACATAAACAAACACATTGCATTGACTCATATTAATTACCTGAGACTGACTTTAACCATGACTTCTACATGCCTCAACCCAAACCAGTGCCCAACCTTAACCACAAACCAAGTGTTAACCATAAAATCTATTACTTATAAGCTTTTTCTCCCTCAATGGGAAGTGAGTGTGTGAACAGGTTTATCTCCCTACAGTGTGATGAACATAGAGAAAGAGGTCTCTCACACACACACACACTCACACACACACATACACACTGACCTCCTCCCCTTGTGTGTCCCTGCAGGGGAGACGATCGAGGAGGCGGTGAGGAGGGAGGTGGAGGAGGAGAGTGGTGTGAAGGTCGGACCGGTCCAATATGTCTCCTGCCAGCCCTGGCCGATGCCCTCCAACCTCATGATTGGCTGCCTTGCTGTCGCCATATCGACCGACATCAAAGTGGATGAGAATGAGATCGAGGAAGCCCGGTGGTTCCCACGGCAACAGGTACAAAGATAAGCGATATGACCGATACCAGTATAATAATGACATTAATAATAGTAGCACTACCACTACTACTGAATACAACCATTAGAATAATAATTTTAGTGTGATATATAACACTAAAGGCTGTAATAATGATAATATAAATAAAAATGATGATGATGATGAGGATGATGAGGATGATGATGATGCTAATAATAAAAAAAATATATGTATTAAATATACTACAATAGCATAAATAAACATATTGGTGTTATACATACATGTTGTATTTTAAGTTCAAAATTAAAATTATAATTTGTAATGGTCACATAAAATAAAAGTTTTATGCAAAATGAATGATAAAATTAAGTTATGTAAGAAAAAAAATCTAAATTACAGAGAATTAATTGAGCATAGCTAAATGTGTGTATATTAAAAAAGGTTTTGGGAAAGTTGAAACTGAATTGGTTTTGCTTTTCAATTCTTATTACATTACATGACATTACATTAATCCTTTTACACTTAGCATAGTATTTGCACATATTGTACGTTTTTAACATGTATCTACAGAACTGCAGAGTGTGTCCACACTGCTTGCTAAATCTGAAAATTAAGGGGGTAAGCCACAGTTGGAACAGTGAAGCCGACCAAAGCCGGCACGGACGGTTCCATGTAGGCACAAAAATTACATCAAAACCCTGGAAACATCCTGTCGCACATGAGAGATGTAACTGTATTGCTTAGATTATAAACTCTGTGAATCTAAAAAACAAAAAATATTTGGCCATCAGTGACGCTGCGTTGGTGTTTGGCAGGTGAGCCTTGTAGGTGGCTTTTTGTTGGTGCAGCTACCAGAATTATGGTGTTTCTGCCGTTGCTCTACGTCATTAAACCACGGTTATGCTGCACGATCATGCGCAGTAGACGCTGGTGCCGACAGAAAGTAGCCCAGTAGTAGTATTTTATTGGTCCAAAACTGGCTTCACTGCTCTCCATTCAGATCTGTGGGGTGGTTTTGTTAATATACTGCCTATGCTTGAATTGCATGTCTTTCTCTCTGGGCTGTGCATCCACAGTAAGGCGGCGTTTTAAAATGCGAAAAGTGAGTAAAGTCATCTCTGACTTTATGTGTGGTCTCGCATGTCAAGATAGCTGGACTTTGTGAGCGTGATCTAGTGATTTTATCAACAGCGGGAGTTACTGATCACAGTATTTATGACTCACAATCAAAGCACAGAAAAACAACAAGCAACAGAGCATTAAATATGTCTGTATTAAAGCACAGTTAAAGTGATGATGGAGAGCAAGAGGGACAGAACGGAGGTTTACAATTAACAAGTGTGCTGCTTTTTCATGAAACAAATCAGTGCGGACCACATCTTAACAAAAACAACCGAAAAGCACTGGTGTTCAGTGTGGACGCGGTCTCAGTGTTACAGAGAGATAGATCAAACTTTTCTTTGTTTTGTTTAGGCAATTGAGTCCTTGCTCAGAGGAGCCTCTCCGGCCTTCACCGTCCCTCCCAGACAGACCATCGCCCACCAGCTGATCAGACACTGGGTCAGCATGACCTCTAATCTCTAACACTTGACCTCCCAGCCAGCTTAGGCAGACAGTATGGAGGTCTGCCTAAAAAAAAAAAAAATAGCAGCAGCTGTCTGAACTGTTACTGCTTTATTACAACAAACTAGCTGCCAGTCAAGGGAATCACCAGATTCTTCAGGTTGTATCCAAATCATTTCAGTGCAGTGCTTGTGTCAGTTCAGATCTCAGGTTTAATTTTACACTTGGGAACTTGCTGTGTGACGATGGATCTAATAACAGACAAGTAAAGGTTAGGAAGAAATGGAGAAAGTACATACTGTTAGAGACCAGACAAATGCAGAAAGCTTAATATCTGCAAGCTGTATTTACATCACTCAGCTATTAACAGAAACAGTTCTATGAGCCAAGTGGACCGTGGCTACATTTCCAGAGTTCAGATAAATTATAACACCACAGACATTTAAAGAATAAACCTTCTATTATACAGTAACAAAAGAAACTATTTTGATGTTGAAGCATGATGACATTTTTACAATTAGACAAACTTTTTCAGGAAAGAGTTTCAGGCATCAGCTTTGTCGGATGGATTTCTTTCTCAAATCAAATGTCAGCCATCTGTATTTATGAAGTGTAGTCTAATACAGTACACTTAGCTAAGAAGATTCATTAATTGATTATAAGAGCAAAACAGATTTTCTGCTAATCTATGCGGTAATGGATTAAATTTTATTTATATGGTGCCAATTCATAACAGAAGTTATCTCACTGCAGTTATCATGTAGAGCAGTTCTAGACCGTACTCTTTGAGAGGGTTGACAGGATGATGCCTGTACAATTTCACTACACCAAAGTCAAAACAGCAAAATGGCTGATCATTGACGCTGATGTACAACCTTTCCATAAACTGAAATGAACAGGAAATATTAAATTGCTTAATATAAGTACTTCTCATTGTCTGTGGCAGATTTTGTCTAACATGTCACTGTTGTAAAAGTAAGGATGTTAACATGGTAAACATTAGTATGGCAACACAACTGTATGCATGTTTTCCCCCCCTTGTATGTGCTGTCATGCAACAAAAGTCCTTGTCAGAATCCAGGAATGTTTTGGTCACCTGTGTCTTGGACTGATAGACCATGGTAAAATAATAATAACCATGCTATCAAGCTAACATTCATTTTATGGGTTATTATGCTAACGTTAGCGTGATAAAGTGCTAAATGTTTCCTGGAAAACATTGAAAATGTTAACACTGGCAATAGTGGCTAACAAGCAAACTGAGCACTTTCACACTAAAACCAGCTTTTGTGGCTAAAGTTCAACTTACTGAACTATACCACCAAATACACTGATGCCCACAACATGTTTAATGCATTTGCAGCAACAGTTTTGCTGTAAAGAAGAATGGTGGAAGTTTATTTTGTGTATTTTCCTGACGATGAATTTGCAGAGTTTTGTAACTCTGTTCTTTGATCGTACTTGAGTGAAAAATCAAGAGGACAAGGATACCAGAAGAAACTCAATATTGTGATGATTCACATTCACAGTCTGTTGCATTCTAATTAGCTACTTTGTAGGATTATGTGTTACTCTTCGTTCTGCATACTACCTCACACAATTGTTGTTTTTACTCATCTCATCCTGTCTGAAAGAGTCACAGGTTGGGCTGTAGCCTCTTCTTATTTTTCCATCTGTGCAATTGACCGAGCATGGAGTACTGAAGTTGGTGGTTCTGTCTGCAGGTTTTTCAGTAAACAAACTGTTTGCTACATAAGTAGGCTCGCAGATCAGATAAGAACAGTTGTTCTGTCCACTCACTGTTTCAACATCTTTTTTCCCCAGAAAGGAAGAGTTTACTTCATATTCTGCCTCACAGGTCATCTGACAAGCACAGCGACTTTGTGTTAGCCGTGAGTTCACGAAAACAGCATTTACAGCAGTTAATTTCTGATGGGACGTCTCTGAAAAGTCAGCCTGTCTGCTCTCTTTCTGTGGAAACCAGCTGTTAGCTTCATGTGTCTGATGCAGCAGAGCAGCGTCAGCCTCTCGGCTCTCCTCAGATATGAAAACTGTGTCAGGATGACAGCAGTTCACTGTGTAGTCAGGGTGACAGGAGGACTGGGCACAAGCTAGTTGATGCTCTGTGGTTATTGGAGCGTCAGAGACATACTCTGTGTCCAGTTCGAGGGTCGACAGTCTGACGATGAGGTGACTGATCAGCAGCACAGAGGTGTCTTCATGTAGGTCCTCTTCTGAGGAGGGCTGGAAGTTAGGACGGACAATGATAGGGCTTCTCTCCCCGAGTATGTCCGCCACCTGGAAGTCCTCTATGTTCAGGATGTTTCTCTCTGCAGTTTTCTGTTGAAGGGAATAATGGACTCGATTTCAATCAGGTAGGGGGAGTTAATGGATTTAAAGTGTTGCTGATATAAAAAAAGATTAGATTTATGGCAGGATAAACTAAAACTTCTGACTATTATACTGCTCAAAACAGAGTACTTCATTTGAGATGTAATGGACTAAAGATGAAGACACCAGATCTGTCTGTGAATTTTTTTCAGCTTCAGTGAAGAATTGGAACAAACTTACCTAATTCACTTCTAAATGTCATGAAAATTAAGAGTTAAATAAAGTCTGGTTACAGGGATGGAACCAAAAATCTGTCATACTGTAATTCTAAAGAAATAACTGTCTTAAATCAAGTTAAATATTTGATTTAACTCGACAAAGGAAATTGTTATTGAACAGATAAATTTTAGACGACTCAAAGTTTCATGCTGTAAAAACTACTCCGCTAATAATCCACTGTGTTTATCTGTCATGATCCTGTCTGTGTGTCTTTTTGGGGAGTCTGGGTTTTAGTTCTATATCTTTGGATTTTGTGTTTTCCCTTGCCCTTGTGGATTCTTCTTTGGACTCAGCCACTGCTTGTAAGTGCGTTCGCCTTTGGTTTGTTTAAATAAATCTTTCAACTATACCTGCCAGCCGTGTGTCCTACATTTGGGTCCTCCAACCTGCCTCTCCACACACTAACTGTGACATTATCTGCCAATCAGATGAGATTATTTAATGTTTTCAAATATAAACTTACTGTAACAAAGAAATTTATCTGCGTATCCTCTTGTTTCAAGATACTGAGACTAATTTTCAGAAAACTGCGCGGGGGAAAAAACGGGGATTGTTAGTCTTGAAAGCAGACTGAACTGAAAGTGACCCAGTTGGATTCGGCTGTAGAGCTGAGTCTAGCAGAGTCCCAGATGACCTGTGATAAAACAGGAGCAAACAGTAACAACCCGGTTTAAGAAAACCAAATTCACCTGGTGGTTTGGGTCCATCAGCCACTTGCCTGTTGTACTGCTCGAGGGTTGGAGATGAGCGGGAAGAAGTATGACTTGTACCTAAACAGTAATTGTATTATAGATTAATTTTAATTGAACAGCTGGATCTTTTTGTTTAATTGAGTTTTGTGTGGTGTGTGTGGTGTTGACTCACACAGTCCTGGACAGGATGGAGATGACAAACACAGTAACAGCCAGCAGCAGCAGAGGAGTCGCTGTGGCCACCACTGGTACCTCATCTGAAATGGAAAAATATCCATGTTAGTTCCCTTCAATTCTAGTTAGATAGATTATTCTATTTAATTCATTATCCAAGATAAATTTTCCAGGTTTCCATCTTAGATGTCAATTTAATCATGCTTATAAGCATTATAGAAAAAAAACTCTCACAAAGCAAGAAAACCTAAACTCAAGATCCCCCTGGCTTGTCCTAATTCTTCTTTAATATCCAATAGTTCAACAGTTAAACTCACCAAAATGTGTCTCACAAAGATGATGTTTCTGGAAACATTATCAGCCAATAGCAGAAGAGCATACTCAGTGTGGGTTTCAGGTTGAGGAGTTGTGCTGCTGTGGTCTGGCCAAAAGACAGAGCTGTGGAAGAGAGAGCGTTCTCTGCATTACAGGTAGATTGTAAAAACCAACTCGAAATGTCACTTACATTCAGTCTGATGCAGAAGGCAGAAGTTTGGACAAAATGTGCTGCACAAGTTTCAAAATAATGAACCAACAGATTTCTTTCCGCTTTCTAACCGCAATGAGTAATACTTTTACATATCTTAATCACTCTTTACAGTCCAAATCATCACTTTTTAATTTAAAAAATAGGTATGTTTTATCAAGAAACTTGTATTAAAAATATCATATAAAAAACTAAAAAAATAAACTATTTTTGAAAATGCTTTTTTTTTTTCTTTTGCATTTATTCCTATTGTAACAGAGTGGTGACATAAAAATTAGCTAGGAGTTAAAATCTGTCATTATACTGAGACTTAAACTGAAGAGTGACTCCAGAGACTGATGCTGTGACCCGTTTCAGAAGGAAAAACTATTAACCTGTTAGTCTCTCGGTGTCTTTCTTCAGCAGC